CAAGGCCTATATAAGACCAAATTCTAAAAATAGTTTAATACTTTTTGAAACATATTTTTTTGAGAAATTAAAAGCAGATTTTAAACATTTTTCGTTTCTATCTATGATCTAAAAATTTAAGCACTGTATATTTAAAAAGTTTTAATATTAGACTTAGAAACAGCCCTGAGTGAATGAGAATTTATAATATGAGACTTTTGGTTACTTTTTCGATCTTTTACTGGTATTAATTAAACGTTTAATGAGAATATACAACATGGAACGATAAAGTGTTCTTCAAAAGCTACTTTTTGAATTTTCTATAATATTGAACTTAGAAACATGAAATTGAACATGAAGGGTCCACAGTGTGTGAGTATCTAAATGCGATCTTTTAGTACTTTTTCGTTCTTCAAACGAATACCTTTTATGTTTCTTTAATATAAGAGGACTTTTTGGGTACTTTGTAGTTTTTCAAAGGGTGTTTTTTTAGCTTTTCAATAATATTGGTCAGAAACATAAAATTAAACACGCAGGGTTCTGTTCATGGAAATCTGTATGAATGTTCTTCAGCTGGTACTTTTTGAGTTTTCTATAATATTGAAATATAAATTAAAAAATAAGTGTTTTTTGGTTCTTTTTTGTTTCGTTTTCGTAGAAACATAAAATATGGAGTGAATGGAAATCTATAGGAAGGGACTTTTGGTACTTTTTCGCTCTACTTTCTGATTTTTCTATATAATTGGACTTAAAGGCATAAAATTAAACACGCTGGGTTCCAGTTGGATGGAAATCTGCACAAAGGGAATAATTTTTACCTTTTCGTTCCTCATCCGGTAATTTTGGAGATTTCTAAAGTAGTTGTATGATAGAAACAATATAATTTGTTTTTATACATATATCGTCACATAAAACGCAAAAATTCCTATTTAACATTTTTTAAATTCTACAGGAGAAGCAAAAAACTATTTAAAATGGAAAGTTTAGTTTCAATCAGCGCGATTTGTTTTTCTTCAAAAGACATTTTTTAACGGTAAATTTCTCAGTTGTTTTGACAATTTACAATTGGTATTTACAAATGATTAGTTATGTCTTTTAGCCTTTATATAAAACTGCTTTTGATAGGGCCCTTTTGAACATTTGGCTTGATGTAATACATCAGAAAATGAAAATGTCGATTTTGAATTTTTTTTTTGTTAGGGCCGTTTTAGTTTTAGGTATGTATTTTTTACGGAGGCAAAGCCACAAAGTTGCACGTAGCTCTGTCCTGTTAATCCAAAATCTCGGATGTTGATGAAAATGAATTTATTTAAATTAGAGTAAAAAGGTGATATGAAGTGATAAAAATAAGTTTAATAAATTGAATGATATTTTGAGAATACAAAACTTCAGTAATTACATATGTGAAAATTATTTACTATGTATATTCCATATTAATTAAAAAATCGTTTAATGTGTTGTTTCAAAATTTAATTAATGCCAAAAATTTGTCGCTAACAAAGTAGCGGGCAGCAAGCCAATTTTAGACACCGTTTTCATCCCTTCATTACCCGAATTTCTAAAAAGAACCGAAAGGATTTCTAATAGACTTTAATTATAATAGGATAAATTTAAAGTTTTATTTGCATGGTCATTTGTTTCGAACATAAATAGGTTAAGAGAAGGTTCTATGGGGACAGTTTTTACCCTTTTAGCTCTATAAAGTCTAGATTTTTAAAAAAGTACCAGACACCTATCAATTATTTTTTTGTATAATAGAGGATACATTTGGAATTTTATTTATATCTTTGCTTCTTTAGGATATATAAAGGATACTAATTTTATCCTTTTTTACCCATTTCTTCCCCTAAACGTAATCCCTTCTTAGTGGATCTATACAATGCCAAAGGAACCTATAACCAAAATTTCATGATTCTAGCTTTAACGGTTTGGGCTGGGCGATGATGAATCAGTCAGTCAATCAGTCACGCAAGCCTTTTATATATAGATTGAGAGAAGGAGAATGGATAGTTAGCTGCTGGTTTCATACCTACATCCTGTACAAAAATATTTTAACAGATTAAAGGTGAGTCAGAATAATTATGAATTTTACGTACATAATTGTTTAACTAATTAAAATTTGTAGTGTAGTGGTTGTATATGTTTGGTATGGTATAACCATACCAAAACAAAACGAAGCAAACTGGTGCTGCCAGAGTGGTAGCGGCGCTGGTATGCCCGCGTTTGCCGGGCTTGGAGCTCGCCGGATGGGGGTGGTTCTTGCTACCACTCTAGACATCTACACACACACATAAAAAAAATCATACCAGCTAAAGAAAATAAACGAAATAAAAATATAAAGGGGCACCGAGTAGGTTTCTGTCTGTCTCCCTGATGAAATGTACCTACGAACTATTATGGCTGGCAGATGTTGTGCCAGGTAAAACCCTCCCACTCGGGAGGGATAATGGATAATCCCGCCATGACATCCTAATATTAGGGAGGTCCCAAAATTTACCCTGCAAACTTTCCTTTCCCTACTTACCGCCGCTTATATTGTTTAACCGATCATTTTAATTGATTAAGACTTTTAAAAATTTCATTTAAACATTATAAATGTTGGATTTTATTATCGAAATTATTCTCAAACAAACTTTAACAATATTAGATTTAAAATTTAGTTTAGTATTAATTTTAATTTTTAAGTTCAGATCTAGCCTTTACAATTTATATTTAGTTTTAGATTTAGGCTTTAAATTTAGAATTTAAATTTAGTTTTAAATTTAAGTTTTAAAATTTAGATTTAGCTTTAGTTTTAGGTTTAGGTTTAAATTTAAATTTAGATTTAAATTTAGCTTTAGTTTTAGGTTTGGATTTAGGTTTAAATTTAGAATTTAAATTTAGCTTTAGCTTTAGTTTTAGATTTAAATTTAGCTTTAGGTTTAGATTTAAATTTAGCTTTAGTTTTAGATTTAAATTTAGCTTTAGTTTTAGGTTTGGATTGAGGTTTAACTATATGCACTCAAATTTATGTTTGCGTTTCAAAAGTTCATAATTCCGCTCGGGGATAAACCGGATCTGGCAATTCTTTTTCTGCGGCAACTAGCTGGTTTACGGGAGGCAATTATAGAGCGGGAAGAGTTCTTTTGGCGGATGAGGCTTTCCTGTCCGTCCGTATTAGGGTCCGTTCGGGTAAACCAGGTAAGTAATTGAAAATATATTTTAAGTTAACACACCTTTTAAGTAATTTGCTTGTTTTCACAGGTTTTTTGTTATAAATATATATGGCTAAGACCACCTGAGATCTCAAAATCACGCGTTACTTTGTAAGAGGCCTGAGCTCAACCCTGTTCGCGCACGTTTGGAAAAAAAAACGCAAACGAAATGGATTCGATACGATGAATGATATATATATTTATTTAGTCTAACCTTTCCTTTTTTTATAGAAAATTATTTAAAAAGGACACTCGTCCGGTCCGTCTTGTCGTCCGGGTGCAAACTCACAGAAGGTCGGAAAACCAAAACTTATACCAGAGCACCCCAGGCGTGGTGGTGCTGGAAAACAGCTTCTCCCTCGTTGGATGGAGTCGGTGTTGAGTGACTTGCAGGTTTGTATATTTTGTGGTTCTTTATTTTATTTTTATATTTTAAGTTTTAGTTTTAAGTTTAGCTTTAAGTTTAAAATTTTTGTAAATAAAATTTATTTTATTTATAAATACAAATCAAAAATTTAAGTTTTTCTTCTTCTGACGAGGCCACAGACTCCACATTCTTCTTCTCTCCGAGCAAAAATCAAAAAAGGAACGACATTTTGTTTTATTGATACCGAGAAACCTCTGTTGCCAATATGGCTTCCCAAATTTAACAAATTGTTCAGCAATTTGTTTGCCTATATACAAATTTTTTTCTAAATCTATTTGTTTTTGTTTTCATTTCTACTTCTTCTTTCCAAATACAAAAAAAATCCCTTTTTCTTACTGTTGCCACCTGTTGTGTGTGCTTTTTCTTTAATTAGGTAGCTTTACTACAGGGTGCACATGACAAATTTTCCTCGGATATTATTATTAGTCTACTAAACTCACCTGCAAACAAATCAACTGTAGTAATGGGCGTCACAACGGTATTACATTCGACACCATTACAACTGGAACCATTTTTTCTTTTCCGTACACTATCCACGGTGAACCAGAATTCAACGAACACATAAATCCTATGTCGCAAAACAGAATTTGGATGTAAAACCATTTCTCTTCTGCAGGGCGATTTAATACGATTAACCTTAGAATCCAATACGCATATATTAGGATACATCCCACCAACAAGGGCGGCTTTAATGACAGAACAATTAGATTTGAGATTTATATAATGCATACTAAGATCAACTTTGCTATATATTAATTGTGATGATCTTAAGGATCCAACCAATTGAGTACGGATATTGCAGTCCTGTTCCAACAGGCCATTCAAAATGAAATTATATTAAAATCAAAAACCAATTCCTCATTTCTAAAGTTATTTTTCCATTCTTGATACAGACGCAAGAATATCAAGTGATCGGAAGGAATACCTTCAAATAAACGTTGTTTTTCTTCTTTTATATTATGACGCAATAAATCTTTGAAGGGTTCATTTAAATGATTCATATAGTGTTGTGACAACTCTAAGGGATCTATAGTCGACATAAAGCCCACAATGGTTAGTACCGGAACCAAACATTGCAACAAAGTAGCAATCACCATATTTTGGCTCTTTGCTTGATAGAATACGAATTTCGACTAGCCACTACCGATGGGCGTCAACTTTTTTCTATTATGGATTATTTCATGGCAGAATAATTTGTCCAGTTTGTTTTTTCAACTTAGCAGTCATTTTCAAAACAATAACAAAAAGCCATCACTACATATGTCACATTTAAAGCAAAAAATGCAACTTTAACAGTCCATTAGCCCATTCCGCAAGAGCAACGCCATGTAGATAATCCGGATTTAATGAATACGAGATGACAAAAGTTAATTTATTTTCAATAGCAGTTGTAGGTAACATGGCAGCCAGCAGTTCGCAGCGGGAAAAAGTGGCAGTAAAGAGGCCTTCCTAAAGGCATTATACACTATAATATGAGACTTTTGGTTATTTTTTCGATCTTTACTGGTATTAATTAAACGTTTAATGAGAATATACAACATGGAACGATAAAGTGTTCTTCAAAAGGTACTTTTTGAATTTTCTATAATATTGAACCTAGAAACATGAAATTGAACATGAAGGGTCCACAGTGTGTGAGTATCTAAATGCGATCTTTAAGTACTTTTTCGTTCTTCAACGAATACCTTTTATGTTTTCTTTAATATAAGAGGACTTTTTGGGTACTTTGTAGTTTTTCAAAGGGTGTTTTTTTAGCTTTTCAATAATATTGGTCAGAAACATAAAATTAAACACGCAGGGTTCTGTTCATGGAAATCTGTATGAATGTTCTTCAGCTGGTGCTTTTTGAGTTTTCTATAATATTGAAATATAAATTAAAAAATAAATGTTTTTTGGTTCTTTTTGTTTCGTTTCGTAGAAACATAAAATATGGAATGGGAAGGGACTTTTGGTACTTTTACGCTCTACTTTCTGATTTTTCTATATAATTGGACTTAGAGGCATAAAATTAAACACGCAGGGTTCCAGTTGAATGGAAATCTGCACAAAGGGAATAATTTTTACCTTTTCGTTCCTCATCCGGTAATGTTGGAGATTTCTAAAGTAGTTGTATGATAGAAACAATATAATTTGTTTTTATACATATATCGTCACATAAAAAGCAAAAATCCCTATTTAACATTTTTTAAATTCTACAGGAGAAGCAAAAAACTATTTAAAATGGAAAGTTTAGTTTCAATCCTCGGGGGAGTTTTTCAGATTTTTCCTACCGAGCGCGTCCCCGGGTGGCGGATAGGGGGTGGGGATGGACCATCTGTCCTCTCCCAGCTTTAATTTCACTTAAGCTGAGGGAGGGCAGATTGTCCACCACCTGGGAATATTATATTCCCCGCGGACCAAAAAACTGGAAAAACAACAAATATGGAAAATAAAAATAAAAAGATAAAAGTTACGGTGCAGGGCCTAAATAACCCAGTACCGGCGGCAAGTGTTGATCTACTCGCGAGTCACTTGTCGTCGTCATCCTGCAATCGTGAGCAGAATACTACTACGGAGGTGGGTACCTTGGCCTCCGTGGCGGACAATGCGTCAAGTGTACAGCATGCCGCTTGCAAAAATATAGTTGTGAAAGAGAAGGATGTACTCGGAGAGAGCTCTAAGCTACCTCAGCCTTTAAATATAGGTGAGGGTTCCGACTCTGAATTACTAAGAAAAGACTTTCTGGAGCACAGAGGAGGAAGTTGAAAAAGATGCTTCAGGAAATCATAGTTAGTCAATCCCACGACACTCCAAAGGAAAAATCGGACTCTCTCACAAGATCTGAGGCAAAAAGGATCAGGTCTCCCGAGGAGTTGACAACTGAGAATAAACCTAAGAAGAAAAAGAGCTCCCCGTCTTCTAATACACAGTCGAAGCCAAGCCATACTTCACTCAAAGGAATCTCAAGTGAGAATCCTGCGAGTAAGGGTGACAACGCTAAGCCAGATATTCCGAAGACGAACACGTCGGCGAAATCAACCTCGAAGGTAAGGGAATCTCAAAAGAAGCCCCGAAAAACGAGGAAGGAAGCTAGACAGAGGAAAAGGAAAAGAGTCGCCATCTTACGCCAAAGTTGCCAGAAGTAGGCACCGGGACGATCTCTGCTATGCAGTTTACGATGCCGGTAATCCGACAGGCAAAATTCCAATAGACCAACAGAGTAAAATAGAAGACGTGGTCAACAATAAGATAGTGGACCATGCAATCGCTTCAAAGGGCAAACAACCAATAGAGAGCGAGAGCTGTGAGTTCAGCATGGGCGTGATGTTGATGAGGTTGGCATCTCACCAATGTGTTAGCACCCTAAAGAACTTGGTGGAAAGTATCCCTCCTCCCTGGGACGGCGCTAGGCTGGGACTGGCAAAGAAGAGCGAGCTTCCGGTGCTCCTAAAGTCCACTGTCTACATAAAAGGATGGGGCAGTAAACTGGCTGATGAACGTATACTGGAAATTCTTGGAGGTCAAAATGCTGAGCTGGCCGTGGAAAAATGGGATGTCTTTTACAGGAAAGAAGAACCTGAGGGAACTTTATTTGTAATAGGTATCGACCAGAAATCCATGGCTAGTCTTGCCAAGAATAAAGGTAGGGCTTACTTCGCCTCTAAATCTGTCATATTCAAAATTGGGAAGGTGCCGATTGGAAGGGCTGTTACAACAAGCCTCGAAAAGGACACTAAAAAACCTAAGACCACAGCATCAGTATCCACTACTGATAACGTTGAGAAGTCAAATCCTAAAATCGAGGAATTTACCATTAACTCGCCAGAAGAAAGTGTAGTTGCCCTTTCCAAAATTGGGAAGGCGCCGATTGAAAGGGCTGTCAAAACCGGCCCCGACATGGACACTAAAACACCTAAGACAGTACCCAAAGCATCATTAGCAAGTACTAGCAATGTTGAGGAGTCAAATCCTAAAAGCGAGGAGGATTTCACTCACCCGCCAGAAGACAGAACAGCAATGCTCTCCAGAATTGGGAATGTGTCTATTAAAAATACTGCTATTCCTATGCCTGATAAGGACACCGCAGTGCCATCAACAGTACTCACTGCATTAATAGCCACTTCAGGCTATCCGGAGGAGTCAAATCCAAATAGCGAGGAGGTGACCACCAACTCTCTGGAAGACAGTTTAATGGATGACCATGATTGAGGTTATCCAAATAAACCTCCATCGGAGCGAGACAGCTACCAACGCTCTGATGGCTAAAATCAACACAGGTAAAATACATATAGCTTTAATCCAAGGAACCTTGGACGATTCGCAACAAGGTTTCTGGATTAAATCACGTAAATTTCCAACTTTTCTACGCTGATACAGGATCTCGCCCGAGAACATGTATCTTATGTCACAAGAACTTATGTTTTCTCCTCTCAACAGGATTATCAACATCGGATGCAACGGTGCTGAAGCAAGGTCGTGGCAACATATTCCTTGCATCTATTTACCTGCCTTTCGATTCTCCGACACTACCACCAACGTCGGATCTGATGAAACTGGTTGAAGAGGCACAAAGGAAAAATAAGAAAATTGTAATAGGTTGTGATGCCAACTCGCATCATGTAGCTTGGGGTAGTACAAACACCAATCGCAGGGGACAAGCCCTCATGGATTTCTTTAATACTAAAGACTTGATAACATTGAACTTAGGTAATAAAGCTACCTTCGTCAATAGAATCAGAGAAGAAGTATTAGATATAACTATATGTTCAGAAGAGCTTATAAACGAAATTCAGGATTGGAGAGTTTCGGACGATCCCTCCTTTTCTGATCATCGGTACATAAGATTCAAAATACTAAGGCCACCACCAAAGCCGATAAAGTTTCGGAATAAGTCTAAAACTAATTGGACAATGTTCGGGACCTTACTAAAGAACCGTTTAGGTCAGGACACTTTTCAATGTCGAAATAAGAGGATATAGATGCCAAAGTGGAAACGTTCACAAGTGCCCTGGTTGTATCGTTCGAGGACAGCTGCCCTCTGCGAGAGCGGAGATCTGCCCAGGAAAAACCCTGGGTAACTGGGGAGATCCGGAACCTTGGGAAGACTCTTCGCAAACTATTTAACCGGGCACGGCGTAAAAAGACCGCAGTATACTGGGATGAGTATCGTAATAAACTTGGTGAATATAAGAAAATCGTTCGAAAAGCCAAACGAGACTCCTGGAAACTTTTCTGTGAACAGGTAGATAGCGTAAATGACGTATCGAAGATAAAAAAATTCCTATCCAAAACTCATGTCCAACCGGAATCTATGATCGATGACACGGGCAGGATGCTTGAGGATATGGAGGAGACAATGAAACTCCTAATGGATTCTCATTTCCCATCCGGTATATCGAATAACATAGATGAACCGATATTGGAGGATGGGGAGGGTAACACGGAAATAGTTATTACAACTGACATGGTTAAAGGGGCAATCAAGAGCTTTGCTCCCTATAAAGCTGCAGGGCCGGATGGAATTTTTCCGGCACTTTTGCAGAGGCGGGAGGCGGGACTGGTTTCCGTACATCTGTCACAGATATTCACTGCATGCTTAAAATTGGCATATACCCCAGTTAAATGGCAGGATGCAAGGGTAATATTTATACCCAAACCAGGGAAACCTAGCTATGCGACACCTAAGTCCTATCGACCGATAAGTCTTACGTCCTTCCTACTTAAAACCTTAGAACGGATAGTCGATAGCATGGTTAAAAGCAGCATACCATACAATGACCTTAAATATAAGCAGCATGCTTATGTAAAGGGACGATCGGTGGAAACCGCTTTAAATGAAGTTGTCCACTACATAGGTGAATCTTTCGATAGCAAACTGTATACACTGGCAGTATGCATTGACATCGAAGGCGCTTTCAATAACGTGCACACTGATACCCTTATCCAATCCCTAGACCAGTTTTATGTTGACCGGGTGCTCCGTAACTGGATCAACTACATGCTAAGGAACAGATGGATAAGCTGCGAGATGTACGATATAACCATCAGGAAAAAGGTATTTCGCGGTATACCACAGGGTGGCATTTTGTCACCTTTACTCTGGGTCACCACGATTAATAGCCTCCTAAGGACCCTAACCGAGAAAGGACTTAGACCTGTCTGCTATGCAGACGATGTCGTAATACTTTTAAAGGGAAAGGATCCAAATTACTTGTGTAGAAGAGCTGAGGAGGCTCTGAATACGGCCTTGAGCTGGGCTCAACCGAGAGGCCTCAATGTTAACCCGGCGAAGACGGAAATCTGTCTTTTCACAAGAAAGACAAAAATTTCTACATATACTGAACCTTGCTTCTTGGGCAAGAAGATACCGGTGACAGACAAGTTAAGTACTTAGGTGTAATACTTGACCGGAAATTAAAATGGAGACACCACATAAAGATAGGATCAACAAGGCACATCGATGCTGGGCGATATGTAGGAGAACCATAGGCATGAAATGGGGTCTTAGTCCTACTATGACAAATTGGCTTTATAAAAGTGTAATTAGACCAATTCTAGCTTATGCTTCAATAATCTGGTGGACTGCTTTGGACAAAAAGTGTAATATCAAACTACTACAGGGAGTTCAGCGTACATGCTGCTTGGGTATAAGTGGTGCCATGTGTACTACTTCAACCAAGGCTCTGGAAACGTTGCTAGATATTCCACCCATTGAAACATATATAAGATATGAGGCGGCGCTTACAGCCGAACGGATCTTTACTTTAGGCGAACTGGCCAAAAACGGTTATAGGACACGTCATCAATGTATACTGGACACATTGGAAGGTTATACACATTCATCGGACGTGCCTGATCGCATACCAGACACTGAATATGTCGGAAACTTTGAAACGCAAATCCCAGATAGAATGTCTTGGTCCAGCGGAACATTAGAGCAAATACCAGTAGGAATCCGTTGCTACACGGATGGCTCTAAATTAGGGGACAAAGTGGGTCTGGGGTTTTATATTGAAGACCCAGAAACAGAAATATACCACCATTTACCTAATCATAACACAAGCTTCCAGGCAGAAGTACGAGCAATAACGGAATGTGTAAATTGGATTAGAATAAATATGGCGCCCACAGGGCTTAATATATTTACCGACAGCCAGAAGGCAATTTGTGCGATATCAGGTGATAGAATTAAATCTAAGACCGTATTGGATTGTAAGAAAGCTTTAACTGAATAGTCTCCCAGAGGTAAGGTTCACATCATATGGGTACCAGGCCACTCGGGAGTAATCGGCAACGAAAGGGCGAATGTAATAGCTTTAAAGGGAAGGGAGCTCGATGTAGTTAACCTGACAAACGCAAAACCATTCGACGCAACAAAAGCTGAATTAAAAATATGGATGAGAGAATCCCATAAGGCCTCTTGGAATAATGAAACGGTGGGTAGAACCACAAAGATTCTATGGGGTAACCCTGATGAGAGCAAGACGAGAAATCTTCTCAAAATGAGCAAGTCTGAGGTTAGTATGATGGTACGTATTCTCAGTGGACACACAGGATTACGAGCACATCTATACAAAATTGGACGTGCGAATTCAGACGAATGTAGAGCATGTGGAGAGGACAGTGAAACTCTGGAGCACTTTCTTTGCCATTGTCAGGCATTCGTCGAAGTTAGATCCAAGTATCTTGGAAGTGATGTTATTCCGGAAATAACATTCTTAACCAACACCGATTGGAAGATTCTTAGGAATTACGTCCAGGAAACTGAGTTTCTAAACATGGAAAAATAATACATTCAGTGAACAATTTTTTTTTTTTTTTTTTTTGAATTGGAGCGCACAACAGGCCCGATAGTGGCCTAGGTGTATTTCTTCGGATTTGATGTAGTATACATCCTCCTATCAACCTAACCTAACCTAACCTAACCTAACCTTAGTTTCAATCAGCGCGATTTGGTTTTCTTCAAAAGACATTTTTTAACGGTAAATTTCTCAGTTGTTTTGACAATTTACAATTTGTATTTACAAATGATTAGTTACGTCTTTTAGCCTTTATATAAAACTGCTTTTGAAGATAGGGCCCTTTTGAACATTTGGCATCAGAAAATTAAAATGTCGATTTTGAATTTTTTTTAGTTAGGGCCGTTTTAGTTTTAGGTATGTATTTTTACGGAGGCAAAGCCACAAAGTTGCACGTAGCTCTGTCCTGTTAATCCAAAATCTCGGATGTTGATGAAAATTAATTTATTTAAATTAGAGTAAAAAGGTGATATGAAGTGATAAAAATAAGTTTAATAAATTGTATGATATTTTGAGAATACAAAACTTCAGTAATTACATATGTGAAAATTATTTACATATGTATATTCCATATTAATTAAAAAATCGTTTAATGTGTTGTTTTCAAAATTTAATTAATGGCAAAAATTTATCGCTAACGAAGTAGCGGGCAGCAAGCCAATTTTAGACACCGTTTTCATCCCTTCATTACCCGAATTTCTAAAAAGTACCGAAAGGATTTCTAATAGACTGTAATTATAATAGGACTAGCTATACCCAGTGTGCTTTGCTACCCTAAAAACAATATAAATAAAAAACTCACTCTACGATTTTTAAAGATTCTAGCTGTTTTTTTTTGTGTTTACCTCATGGGAGATGCCTCGCCAACTATTGCTAGTTCGTGAATTTTTTCCAAACGTCAATTTGAATATTAATGTAACCTATGAACAATTTTAATAATCTAATAGTTTCCCAAATATACGAATATTTGTATTTAATTCATGTGGAAGGTGCCAAGCCATAATTGAAAGTCCGCTGTTTTCCCCATATGTTCACATGAATGTCAAAGTTCATCGTGCAAAATTTGAGGATTCTAGCTGTAATAGTTTCTCATATATATATTTCTGTATTTAATTCATATGGGAGGTACTCCGTCCCCTAATGCTAGTCTGCCAATTTATTACCCAAATGTTCATATAGAAGTCAATGTTCTTCGTGCAAAATTTGAGGATTCTAACTCTAATAATTTCCTAGGCCGCCAATTTATTACCTAAATGTTCACATTGATATTAGAATTGATCGTGCAAAATTTTAGTATTTTAGGTCAAATAGTTTCACAGATATGTATATAAATTTTTGTTTTTAAAGCAATGAAAGTCCACCCATTTTTCCCCAAAATGTTCACATCGATGTTAAAATCTTTCGTGTAAAATTTGAAGATTCTAGCTCTAATATTTTCCCACATAAAAGAATTGCTTGTCCGCTAATTTATTACTCAAAAATTCACATTTATGCTAAAGTTGTTCGTGTAAAATTCGCGGATTTTAGCTCCAATAGTTTATCAGATATACGATTTTTTGTATTTTATTCATATGAGAGGTTCCAAGATCCCTATTGAAAGTCCTCCCATTTTTCTCTGAAATGTTTAAATGGACGTTAAAGTTCTTCGTGCAAAATTTAAGATTATAACTCTAATTGCTTCCCAGATAAACGATTTTTTTTTTAATTAATATGGGGGTGCCACGCCCCCTATTGCTAGTCCGCCAATTTATGACCCAAATATTCACATGATGCAAAATTTGTTCGTTCAAAATTTAAGGAATTTAGCTCTAATAGTTTCTCAGATATTCGAATTTTTGCATTTAATTTATATGGGAGGTGCCAAGCCCCCCTAATGAATGTCACGTGGATGTTAAAGTTCTTTGTGCAAAATTTGAAGATTCTAGCTCTAATTGTTTCCCAGATAAACGATTTTTTATTTATTTCATATGGGAGGTGCCTCGCCCCCTATTGCTAGTCCGCCCATTTTTTGTCCTAAATATTCATGTTGATACTAAAGTAGCTCCGAAAAAATTTGAGGACTCTAACTGTTATATTTTCTCAGATATACTAATTTAAAATTTTTTATATGGGAGGTGTCACGCCCACTATAGCTAGGCCGCCCATTTTTTCCCCATATGTTCATATGTATATCAAAGTTGTCCATACAAAATTTGAGGACTATAGCTGTTGTAGTTTCTGAGATATGCAACTTTTAATTCTTAATTTGGATGTGGGCGTGGCACCTCGCCTACTTAAAATTTAAAAATTAAAAGTAGCCTATAGTTCCTTCCAGGCATACAGGAAGGCACTGTAAAAATTTTAAGAAAATCGGTCCAAACAAACAAACAAACAAACAAACAAACAAACCCACAAACAAATAAACACACATTCATTTTTATATATATAGATAAATTTAAAGTTTTATTTGCATGGTCATTTGTTTCGAACATAAATAGGTTAAGAGAAGGTTCTATGGGGACAGTTTTAATCCTTTTAGCTCTATAAAGTCTAGATTTTTAAAAAAAGTACCAGACACCTATCAATTATTTTTTTGTATAATAGAGGATACATTTGGAATTTTATTTATATCTTTGCTCCTTTAGGAGATATAAAGGATACTAATTTTATCCTTTTTTACCCATTTCTTCCCCTAAACGTAATCCCTTCTTAGTGGATCTATACAATGCCAAAGGAACCTATAACCAAAATTTCATGATTCTAGCTTTAACGGTTTGGGCTGGGCGATGATGAATCAGTCAGTCAATCAGTCACGCAAGCCTTTTATATATAGATTGAGAGAAGGAGAATGGATAGTTAGCTGCTGGTTTCATACCTACATCCTGTACAAAAATATTTTAACAGATTAAAGGTGAGTCAGAATAATTATGAATTTTACGTACATAGTTGTTTAACTAATTAAAATTTGTAGTGTAGTGGTTGTATATGTTTGGTATGGTATAACCATACCAAAACAAAACGAAGCAAACTGGTGCTGCCAGAGTAGTAGCGGCGCTGGTATGCCCGCGTTTGCCGGGCTTGGAGCTCGCCGGATGGGGGTGGTTCTTGCTACCACTCTAGACATCTACACACACACATAAAAAAAAATCATACCAGCTAAAGAAATAAACGAAATAAAAATATAAAGGGGCACCGAGTAGGTTTCTGTCTGTCTCCCTGATGAAATGTACCTACGAACTATTATGGCTGGCAGATGTTGTGCCAGGTAAAACCCTCCCACTCGGGATTGGATAATCCCGCCATGACATCCTAATATTAGGGATGTCCCAAAATTTACCCTGCAAACGTTCCTTTCCCTACTTACCGCCGCTTATATTGTTTAACCGATCATTTTAATTGTTTAAGACTTTTAAAAATTTCATTTAAACATTATAAATGTTGGATTTTATTATCGAAATTATTCTCAAACAAACTTTAACAATATTAGATTTAAAATTTAGTTTAGTTTTAATTTTAATTTTTAAGTTCAGATCTAGGCTTTACAATTTATATTTAGTTTCAGATTTAGGCTTTAAATTTAGAATTTAAATTTAGCTTTAGTTTTAGATTTAGGTTTAAATTTAAGTTTTAAAATTTAGATTTAGCTTTAGTTTTAGGTTTAAATTTAAATTTAGCTTTAGGTTTAGATTTAAATTTAGCTTTAGTTTTAGGTTTGGATTTAGGTTTAAATTTAGAATTTAAATTTAGCTTTAGTTTTAGATTTAAATTTAGCTTTAGGTTTAGATTTAAATTTAGCTTTAGTTTTAGATTTAAATTTAGCTTTAGTTTTAGGTTTGGATTGAGGTTTAACTATATGCACTCAAATTTATGTTTGTGTTTCAAAAGTTGATAATTTCGCTCGGGGATAAACCGGATCTGGCAATTCTTTTTCTGCGGCAACTAGCTGGTTTACGGGAGGCAATTATAGAGCGGGAAGAGTTCTTTTGGCGGATGAGGCTTTCCTGTCCGTCCGTATTAGGGTCCGTTCGGGTAAACCAGGTAAGTAATTGAAATATATTTTAAGTTAACACACCTTTTAAGTAATTTTGCTTGTTTTCCACAGGTTTTTTGTTATAAATATATATGGCTAAGACCACCTGAGATCTCAAAATCACGCGTTACTTTGTAAGAGGCCTGAGCTCAACCCTGTTCGCGCACGTTTGAAAAAAAAAAAAACGCAAACGGAATGGATTCGATACGATGAATGATATATATATTTATTTAGTCTAACCTTTCCTTTTTTATAGAAAATTATTTAAAAAGGACACTCGTCCGGTCCGTCTTGTCGTCCGGGTGCAAACTCACAGAAGGTCGGAAAAACCAAAACTTATACCAGAGCACCCCAGGCGTGGTGGTGCTGGAAAACAGCTTCTCCCTCGTTGGATGGAGTCGGTGTTGAGTGACTTGCAGGTTTGTATATTTTGTGGTTCTTTATTTTATTTTTATATTTTAAGTTTTAGTTTTAAGTTTAGCTTTAAGTTTAAAATTTTTGTAAATAAAATTTATTTTATTTATAAATACAAATCAAAAATTTAAGTTTTTCTTCTTCTGACGAGGCCACAGACTCAACCTTCTTCTTCTCTCCGAGCAAAAATCAAAAAAGGAACGACATTTTGTTTTATTGATACCGAGAAACCTCGGTTGCCAATATGGCTTCCCAAATTTAACAAATTGTTCAGCAATTTGTTTGCCTATATACAAATTTTTTTCTAAATCTATTTGTTTTTGTTTTTGTTTTCATTTCTACTTCTTCTTTCCAAATACAAAAAAATCCCTTTTTCTTACTGTTGCCACCTGTTGTGTGTGCTTCTTCTTTAATTAGGTAGCTTTACTACAGGGTGCACACGACAAATTTTCCTCGGATATTATTATTAGTCTACTAAACTCACCTGCAAACAAATCAACTGTAGTAATGGGCGTCACAACAGTATTACATTCGACACCATTACAACTGGAACCATTTTTTTCTTTTCCGTACACTATCCACGGTGAACCAGAATTCAACGAACACATAAATCCTATGTCGCAAAACAGAATTTGGATGTAAAACCATTTCTCTTCTGCAGGGCGATTTAATACGATTAACCTTAGAATCCAATACGCATATATTAGGATACATCCCACCAACACGGGCGGCTTTAATGACAGAACAATTCGATTTGAGATTTATATAATGCATACTAAGATCAACTTTGCTATATATTAATTGTGATGATCTTAAGGATCCAACCAATTGAGTACGGATATTGCAGTCCTGTTCCAACAGGCCATTCAAAATGAAATTATATTAAAATCAAAAACCAATTCCTCATTTCTAAAGTTATTTTTCCATTCTTGATACAGACGCAAGAATATCAAGTGATCGGAAGGAATACCTTCAAATAAACGTTGTTGTTGTTCTTTTATATTATGACGTAATAAATCTTTGAAGAGTTCATTTAAATGATTCATATAGTGTTGTGACAACTCTAAGGGATCTATAGTCGACATAAAGCCCACAATGGATAGTACCGGAACCAAACATTGCAAGAAAGTAGCAATCACCATATTTTGGCTCTTTGCTTGATAGAATACGAATTTCGACTAGCCACTACCGATGGGCGTCAACTTTTTCTATTATGGATTATTTCATGGCAGAATAATTTATCCAGTTTGTTTTTTCAACTTTAGCAGTCGTTTTCAAAACAATAACAAAAAGCAATCACTATACCCCCAAAGGTAGGTAAATAACAAGGAATATTTTGGAAGTCAACAAGTATTTATCCTCTAATGTTTACATTTAACACAATCATTTAAAATAAAACTAAACATCTCTAGCATGATGTAATAACTTAGTGCATCCTGATCTCTAGTATATTTTCCCAAATAAAAGGTTTTTGAAAATACATATGATTATGACTTACAGAATATCAAGAAGATCTACATATGTCACATTTAAAGCAGAAAATGCAACTTTAACAGTCCATTAGCCCATTCCGCAAGAGCAACGCCATGTAGATAATCCGGATTAAATGAATACGCGATGACAAAAGTTAATTTATTTTCAATAGCAGTTGGCGGTAACATGGCAGCCAGCAGTTCGCAGCGGGAAAAAGTGGCAGTAAAGAGGCCTTCCTAAAGGCATTATACACTATAATATGAGACTTTTGGTTACTTTTTCGATCTTTTACTGGTATTAATTGAACGTTTAATGAGAATATACAACATGGAACGATAAAGTGTTCTTCAAAAGGTACTTTTTGAATTTTCTATAATATTGAACCTAGAAACATGAACATGAAGGGTCCACAGTGTGTGAGTATCTAAATGCGATCTTTTAGTACTTTTTAGTTCTTCAACGAATACCTTTTATGTTTTCTTTAATATAAGAGGACTTTTTGGGTACTTTGTAGTTTTTCAAAGGGTGTTTTTTTAGCTTTTCAATAATATTGGTCAGAAACATAAAATTAAACACGCAGGGTTCTGTTCATGGAAATCTGTATGAATGTTCTTCAGCTGGTACTTGAGTTTTGAGTTTACTATAATATTGAAATATAAATTAAAAAATAAGTGTTTTTTGGTTCTTTTTTGTTTCGTTTTCGTAGAAACATAAAATATGGAGTGAATGGAAATCTATAGGAAGGGACCTTTGGTACTTTTTCGCTCTACTTTCTGATTTTTCTATATAATTGGACTTAGAGGCATAAAATTAAACACGCACGGTTCCAGTTGAATGGAAATCTGCACAAAGGGAATAATTTTTACCTTTTCGTTCCTCATCCGGTAATTTTGGAGATTTCTAAAGTAGTTGTATGATAGAAACAATATAATTTGTTTTGTCGCGGTAACGTGAACACCGTCTAACGTGAACACCGCCTAACGTGAACAAGATGTTTTTTACATTGACTACTCTGTAACGTGAACAAACACAGAAAGCTCTATAACGTGAACAATTTTTTTCACAATATATGTTTTCTAAGCATGTAGACAACATTGAAATAGATTCATTAAATTCGAATTTTAAAATTTTGGGAATCTCCTTATAAATGAATGTATATCTCCTAAATTATTTTGTTTATATGGCAAAGAAATTTGAAGTTATGAGTGTAAAAAAATCTAAATGTTTGCAGTTAAAAGAAAAGGCAGACATTTTAGATAGTTTGCAAAGAGGAACAAGTGTGACTAGTTTATCAAAAAAGTATAATGTCGCTAAGTCAACAATATGCAGTATTAAAAAGAAACAAGTAAGAAGTTATAGTTGGGCGACGCCGACCATATATTACCCTACACCTGTATACGAATAAAATGTGATGTGGTTTTCATAATAAAGCATTTAAGTTGAATTGTACCTTGCCTCAGATATACTAAAGCCATTTACAGTTTAATAAAACTGTGGATATTTAAGTAAAATGTTGATGGGGCTTTTTAGAGGGGCTAAGGGTCAAATGAGGCCCTATAATTAAAAATTTTATCAGGGTCATCAAAACTAGTATAGAACTTGGTTTTGCAGCTTTTTGTCGAGATACGAGTATATTAAGCATAATTATGAACTTAAAAGCCCTATTTGGCGGGTTCAATTCTATGGGGCCTAGGTGAAACAATGGACTGATGTTAACCATTTTCAATAGGCTTTGTCTACAGTACCATAAAAGATCATGTGCCAAATTTCATTGAATTATCTCCAAAATTTCGACCTGTAGTTTGATTACAATGTTTACAACCCTTTTTGGGGGGTACAGTTGTATGGGGGCTAGGTGAAATAATGGACCGATCTTAAACATTTTCAATAGGGTTTGTCCCTGGGACAATAGAAGATCATGTACCAAATTTCATTCAATTATCTTCAAAATTGCGGCCTGTAGTTTGATTACAAGGTTTACATGGACGGACAGACGGACATAGCTAAACCGACTCAGAAAATGATTCTAAGCCGATTGGTATACTTTAAGGTGGGTATAGGACCAATATTATTGTGCGTTACAAACATCAGCACAAACACAATATACCCTCCCCACTAAAGTGGTGTAGGGTATAAAAAGAAGCAATTTTGAGTTGTGCAAACAACACATACCAAGGACCGGGAAAAAGACAAACTTTAAAATCATCAGAACTTCCAGTTAATGAAAAAACTCTTTACCGTTGGTTCCTCCGAATGCGTGATAGGAATTGGCCTGTAAGTGGTCTAATGTTAAAAGAAAATGGATTTTAATAAAATTTTAGTTTTATATTATAATAATATAAATAATAATTAAAGAATATCACGCTCAAGTGTGTAAAATACAGATTTATAAATTAAAATTTCATATTTTTTTCATGAAATTTGACAATCGCTAACGTGAACAATTTCGCTAACATGAACTCCCTTGGTTTTAATTAGTTCACGTTACCGCGAGTGCACTGTATATCGTCACATAAAACGCAAAAATCCCTATTTAACATTTTTTAAATTCTACAGGAGAAGCAAAAAACTATTTAAAATGGAAAATTTAGTTTCAATCAGCGCGATTTGGTTTTCTTCAAAAGACATTTTTAACGGTAAATTTCTCAGTTGTTTTGACAATTTACAATTTGTATATACAAATGATTAGTTACGTCTTTTAGCCTTTATATAAAACTGCTTTTGAAGATAGGGCCCTTTTGAACATTTGGCTTGATGAAAATGAAAATGTCCGATTTTGAATTTTTTTTAGTTAGGGCCGTTTTAGTTTAGGTATGTATTTTACATCAGAAAATGAAAATGTCGAAAATAAGTTTAATAAATTGTATGATATTTTGAGAATACAAAACTTCAGTAATTACATATCCCAGTAAAAATTGGAGCTTATGTGCAAGCAGGTTTGTAAGGGAACGAAGCTGTTTTCTCCCTTACAAACCTGCTTCGATAAGGCATGATTTTTATATAGCGAATTCCCACTTGGAAGCATTACTTTTTAAAAAATGAAGCGTGTTTTCACTCATTACATTCAGCTGTGAGTAACAGCTATAAGTAAGCACTTATTTCATGTTTCTATGGCATTACTTCTTTCATTGATTACAAAAAGCTCATGTGAAGCTATTACAGTATTGCTTATATGAAACCCTTTCTTCATGGGATTCTACACTCAATGGTAATCTGAATGTACACTATTTAAAATATGTAAAATGGCTGATGTACTTGCCACAGATGGGCGATATTTTATATACCATTCCCTTATATTTTCTCTTAGTGTCCCGTTTTTATCATCAGCTATATTTATATATATATATATATATATATATATATATATATATATATATATATATATATATATATATATATATATATATATATATATATATATATATATATATATATAGATTTATATTTGTAATAAAATCTTTTTATATTTTATAAGAATGTTTTTTACACTTTTATTCACGCCTTATCTGCTCAAATGCCACTCGATGACTAAACATTTTATATTATGTAATTTAAGCGAATACAGATGCAGTTAGGTCCCTTTTTAGCTTCCTAAAGTCTAAAATTTTTTTACTGGGATGTGAAAATTATTCGTTCGTGAATTTTTTCCAAACGTCAATTTGAATCTTAATGTAACCTATGAACAATTTTAATAATCTAATAGTTTCCCAAATATACGAATATTTGTATTTGGAAGGTGCCAAGCCATAATTGAAAGTCCGCTGTTTTCCCCATATGTTCACATGAATGTCAAAGTTCATCGTGCAAAATTTGAGGATTCTAGCTCTAATAGTTTCTCATATATACGAATTTTTGTATTTAATTCATATGATTTTTTTCTGTGTTCATCTATAGTGGATAGACGTGTTTTAAATCGCTCTCACAGGAAAATAACATTGTGAATATAAATTCTTAATAAAAATATAAAAAAAGATAAGTAACAGCGAATGGACGCTAATTAAATACATACTTATTTATTTTTAATATTAAAAATACATTTAAATTAAATAAATTGTCGTTTTTGTTAATGCAATTATTAACAAAACAATTTATAAAAAAGCAAAAAGTATACAAAAAGAAAAAAATAACAACAAAACCTTAAATAGAGTGTAGTGTGTGTTATTGTGCATGAGTTTCTCTAACTCTCCAACAAGTGAAAGGAGGCTCAGTAGCAATGGAAAAAATGCATACTTTGTTATGAGCTCTCCATGCAACAACAACAATAATTATGACCCAAAAAATCATAAAAACTATTTAAGTGTAAGAACAACAACAAACGAGAGATCTCCTCTCTCAAGTGCGCCAAAACAGAACAATTGTGTAGATAATAGCGCAAAAGAAAAAATAAATAAACAAACAACAGATTCAAAAACAACAACAAACGAGAGATCTCCTCTCTCAAGTGCGCCAAAACAAGACAATTGTGTGGAAGACAAAGCAAAAGAAAAAATAGATAATCAAACAACTGAT